GCCTAAACTTGGTTAAGTCCATATAAAGATTTCTTCAAGTGACTAATGCAATGTTCTCTTTTAGGAACTATAAATCCCTCAAGTTACTTCATGTAAAAAAAATTATTATAATTTTTATTTTCTATATTGAATTTCCTCACTTGTTGCCTGTGGATTTTTTATCCCTTACATTGGAGTTTTCAAATTAATGTTCAATTTTCTGAGTCATCTTTTATTATTTTCTCTAACTTCTTTATAATTTTCAATTATTTTATCTTGTTTATTATTTCTATGCTTTTCAACAAGTGATATTATAGCTTGGTTCTTAGTTAAAAAATTTTTATGATGTTTTTGGTTACAAAGTTTGATGTTGAGAAGTTTGATAGTAAAATTAGTTTTGCAATTTAGTGAATTTAAATGAAAGTGTTTTTACTCAAAATGGGTTCCCTTTGCATGCCTGTATTCCCTTACCCTACTAACATCGTAAGCTTGAATTTCTACAACTATTGAGTTATACCCTTCTAAGTTTACCTCTCAACTCATACCACTTTTACTATCTCTGATCAATTACATCTAACTATATGTGAATTGCTTCCCAATTCTGACCCCTATCCCTATTAGACTCCATCATCTCAATATCTATGATGCTAAAATGGAAAATAAAGTACATAGACGAGTGCTTCAAAGAATTTTCGCCATACTCATGAAAAGCAATATCAATGCGAAAATTAGATTCATCACCTGTGAAAGACGATGATCTACTACATGCATGTACCCTCCTTGAAGCCCCAAAGATTCAAGTCCTTGTATGCACACTACAATCACACGACCAGTGTGAATACCATATTTTATCCGAGCCTTAGTAAACAAATAAGGTAACATTCATAATAAAATAATAAAAAAGATAAAATAATAAAAATGAAAATAGGAATTAACAAAAAATAAATAAATAAAAAATTTAAAAAGGTATTGGATATGAAGATGATAAAAAAAAATATAATCAAGCTAGATCACAATTTAATATAATAATTTGAATATAATGTAATATAATATACTATAATATTATGATTTTAAGAATTTATGATAATATAATCTAATATCTAATATTAAGATTTGAAGATTTCAAAATAATACAATGGTCGAGATATAATAATGGGAAAGATAACAATTAATATCTAATTTCTAATAATAATAATATATAAAAATATTAATTTTGATCATGATAGGATTGAAATTTTAGAGAAACCCTAAATCTTGAGGTTTATATAAAGAAAAGCAAATGTAGAGCAAGAGGGCAATTAGAGAGATTTAAGAAAACCGTGAGAGAGAGGACAATAGAGATTTAAGTGGATCAAGATTTATAAAGGTAAATTCACCTTCTCTTAAACTTTAGGCCTTCATGCTTTTACATTAATCAAGTATTTCATAAGATTGAGTCTTAAAGTTTGAGTATAGAACCTTTTGAGCTCTATATGTGATCTCCCCTCTAATTGAATTGCAAATTTTTGTCTTCATGTGATTGAACATGATGTGCGTGAGATGATTTTCAGTAGCTATTGTTTTATTCTTCTTCATCTTAAATCTTCACATATGAGCCTTACTCTTTAAAATTTTATTCTTTTATGCTATAATAACATCATATGAGTGAGGGACTTCAATATAATTCTTTGATAAATTTTAACATTTTAAATAATTATGCAAATATCATGATTGATTAAATTTGGAGATATACGATGTGGGAAGGTATTCCTCAGAGATTTTAAAATTTAAATCTCAAATATTTGTTTATTGATTCTTCATTATATGATTTTACCTAATTTGTTTGTTATGAGAGATTTTTAGAGTTCTCAAAAATTTTTAAGTTAACTAATTTGGTATGCATGTAGATAAATTATCAACATGTTCATCTATAAACTGATTTATATTCTTTTAATTGCTTGAGACTTTTAGAGTCTACACAAGCTAATAAGTTAATTAATTTATCTTATATAGTGATAAATTATTGCATGTATATAATTTAAAATCATCAATTGTGTGAGACTTTCAGAGTCCTTACAAATTTATAAGTTAAATAGCTTATCCTATGCAATGATAAATTATAGCAAGTACATATTTTTAAAATATTTTATCCTTAAATAAAAATAAAAAGGCTTTCCTAAAATAAATAAATCATATTTGGAAGATGGATTTGGATACATGAAATTTTCATAAATCTTATCAAAATATTTTCCCCAAGATTATCTCTCAAAATTGTCACAAATAAAGAAATAAAATATTTTTTAAAATAAAAATTACAAACCAACATCAAAACTATTTTATAAAAAATTAATAATTAATTTTTTTAAAAAAATTTCCAACCAAGAGACACGCATTTTTACCTCAAAGTATGTGAATTTTGATCTTCAAAAGGGTATATAAGCCTTAGGATTTTATTTTACGTCAAGTCCAACTTATAAATAAAAATTTTCTTTTTTAATGTTCTTAATTTTTTATCTTATTTTGTTATTAAGGATAATTAATATATTTTTTAAGGCCATTTAAATTTATATAGTTAATTTAAGGTAACCATTCACAAAAATGGATATTGTGGAGTGCCAAATACCTTTCCTATATACAATCAGCCCTATTATCTTTTCCTCTATAAATAGATCATATATTAAAAAAATTTTTAAAATTATCCTTTAAAATTTTAATGATGATTCCAAATATTTTTATTTTTTATTTGATTTTTCTCTTTGAGAAATTCCGGATCGAGCGCCACACCCAGTACCTTTGTTGTGTTCACATCGTCTTTCTTCGAACAAAATGGCTCGACTTGCACAATCAGAGCCTTCGTGTAGCCCTCTCTTTGAACCAGATGGTTCGACTTGCACACTCAATACGTCACGTCACCCTCTCTTCAAACTAGATGCTCGACTTCAAAGCTCTAACTCGGACCGCTTTTGTTTGAGACTTTTCATATTTTAATTTTCCATCTCGGACAGACTAGATTTGTGAAATACGTGCGTCTAATTGTTAATGCCTACTCAGCAAACTCCAGACCAAATCAGTTAATCCAGTCAGTGCCATGTGTCCTCTAATAAATACTTTATGAGTATATAAAAAATTAAACATTTTATTCATATATACAGCCAATTCTCCTCTATGTATTTCAAATTAAAAAAAAAGTCAATTATCAATATTTATTTACATTATCCAGTAGAATTTTTTTTTTAATTTTATAGGTCAAAATAAAAAAATAAAAAAAATGTAAAAATTGACTTTCGACCTCAAACATAACCTAAATTTGATCAATAAAAGTCAGGTTTGAAAAAAAATTAATTTTAAAATAAAAGGATTTATGGGCTAAGCTTAAACATATGAGCTTGATCTACGTAGTCTAGGCTTTCTTTTTCTTCAACACTACCTAAAATGCGTGACTTAAATTCGAACTCTAATTATTGATAAATTTAAATTAATAAACAAAAATTATGCATTTCTTACCATAGATGAAGAAATCGGATGAGGTTAATCATTCCACGCTCAATGTTCTCTTGGGATGAATCTTCAAATTAAAAATGGTTTTCTTTTGTCAACGAACACGCACGCACACGCAAGCAGGCACTCACGCGTCACGTTTCTGAGCCACCTACCCATTTCAAAGTTGAGTCTTCTACAAAAACCTATTTCAAAGCTTCGGTATGATTTATTTTTTTATGATTTATTTGTCATAAATTAATAATATTAAATCTAAGCGTCAACTATTATCGTTAATCGCACATAAACCAACTCATATCATAAAAAATATATATTTACATGAAAGTGCTTATTGATCTTTGGGAAAATATTATATATATATATATTTTTTTTTTTTTCTTGCAAGACTTGAAAGATAGCGTATCTCATGCTTTGATCGATCGATTTAATTACGTACAAACTACAGTTGGTAAAAAAAAAATTAATTACATCATAGGATTAATACACCAAAAAACATAATGACGAGGACAGTATTCTTATTGTATATCCTGTGCGTCTCTGTGTGTGTCATTTTTGAAGTGTCATCATTGAGACATTGAACTAATTCCTGAAGCTTTCTCCTTCCAAGCAAATTCAGAAGCACGAAAAGTAGACAGTACTGGATATGGCTCTTTGTGCTTGTACTACTATTGTTTTGAATATTCAAATCAATAATAAATATGCTCCTGTTACGATCACTAACTTACAAGCTGCTCATTGGGAAGGGTTCAAATTTAACAAGAACTTGCACTCTATTATTACTTCCAAGAGCAATATATTTTTTATGATTTATTATTATTTTGGTCTTACAAATGTATTTATTGATGATATTTCGTGTGAAAGCCAACATATGTTATGAGCAGAAATTTAAAGGGGGAAGTGGATAACCCATTTTCGAAAAACTGGCCTGCTAGATGGGATAGTTAATTCTTTGAATTTATAAATTACATTTCATTTGTGAAATTTCCAAATGTAAAACCATGATATTACCACCATATTCAAGAGCCGACATCTTCTACGGGCTTAGTCTACGGAACTTATAAGTTCAAGGGCTTTTCTGTGCAAGAATCTTTGGGGAAGATATTGGAAACATTATTATGGTGAAGTACCCTGATTATGAATGATCAACAAATTGAAGCCTTGCTAATTAATCTATTTACTATATGGAGATTTCCAGCCACCGCCCACTGGCATGTGGTTTTCCATAATTTTATTTATTTCCCCAATTGGAGTTATAGACTATTTCCCAGATGATTGCCCCACGATTTTCAAATTATAAATTGTTAATTTGGATCTATAAATTATACTCTGAATATTTTTAAATATATGAAGTGTTCAAATATCGTCAATTCGTCATCTTGTATCATACGTATTTTATTTCATTTATTGCAACAATTAATTATTTTAATTTTCAACTTACATATATATAGCATCGACAAATCTCAATTTGTTGTTTAATTTGTTTTCCTCTAACACACACAAACACACACACACACCCCCACACACACATTTATGTAGATATAAAAGAAATTCCAATAGGCGTCACAGCAACAGATATATATACAATCATGCGAAGTCGTTGGCGTAAGGAAATGAACAAAAAATATCACAAAGCAATAATAACCCGTGTTCTTTCTTTCTTTCTTTATTTTATTATTATTATTTTTTTTCGTGGACTTCTCTTCATCATCGAACAGTTGGATGACCCAACTCGGAGAAGATCGACCCAGAAACTAAAGACTGATTTTCACTGCTTGAAGTAGTCAACCTGCTGCCTTTTGATTCATCACTGCTCGTGAACCCTACTTTACTTTCTTCCACATTTGTAGCTTTTCTCAGCAGAGCTCTTTCCTCGCTCCTTCCTTCAATCTCGGTCACATCAAGCCCCACTAATCCCTCTGTCCCTTCTTGAAGCTGCAACGCAAACTCTAGGCCCCACACAACGTCGTTCATCGAAGGCCGTTCATTCCCATCTTCCACCAAACATTGGAGTGCCATGTCGCTGAATGCTTTTAAGCACTCTGGTGTGATACTTTCTATCAGGAAAGGGTCAACAGTTTGATGAATCACACCCTCGCGATGGCATTTTCGGACCCACTCCACTAAACTTGATTTCTGCTTCTCCACGTTACGTCGCAAGGGAGGCCTCCCACTCAATACTTCCAGCAATACAACTCCAAAGGAGTAAACGTCAGACTTATGAGTTAACCTTTGACGCTTATAGTATTCTGGATCCAAGTAACCAATGCTTCCTTTCACCACTGTGCTTACGTGAGACTTGGACATCCCTATGGGTCCTATCTTGGATAATCCAAAATCCGAAACTTTAGCCACCCATTTCTCATCTATCAAGATATTTGTGGATTTCACATCACGGTGAATGATATTGTGGTTCGCACCAGTATGAAGATAATGGAGTCCACGAGCAGCACCAAGGCACATCCCCAACCTTTGCTTCCAGGAAAGTGGAGGGTTATCAGTATCGTAAATATGGTCACGGAGGGTCCCACGAGCCATGAACTCGTAGACGAGGATCATCTCGTTGCCGTCGTTGCAGTAACCAATAAGAGACACTAAATGATTGTGACGAAGTTGAGAGAGCATTTCAATCTCAGTTTGAAACTCATGGAGCCCTTGTTGGGAACCTTGCTTGAGCCGTTTGATCGCCACAGGGACCGTACCATCATCAACGTAACCTTTATAGACATTACCAAACCCTCCAACGCCCACAATAAAAATATCATCAAAATTACTTGTGGCTGCTTTAATCTCATCTATTGAAAAGCAGCGACACAAATTGGACGGCAATGATGAACCATGGGATTTGATCTTTTTTGATGAGTCTCCTGATTTTTGTCCCCACCATGAACTTCCTTCCTTGTCTGGAGCTCTCATCAATCGCCGGAAAATCAGTAAAACAATAAGAGACACCACAATGAAGCCTGATGATGTCCCAACGATAATGGAAATTAGCTTCGCTTTCTTTCCATTCTTGGAGGATGGGGTGGATGAAATTGGGGGAGATGGAAGGAAATCGGGATTAGCACCGGCGAGATTGTCATTGTAGTCACTTATTTTCAAAACTTCGATCCCATTCAATAAAACATCTCTGAAAGTACTTCTTGCATATGGGTGTGGTTGTAACTTAATTGTAAGATTCGGTTTCTTTAAGCTTCCTTTGCCCAGCATGGACACCGCATAGTCCCTATGGACAGGAACAAGAATCTTGTCGCTCCACAGCATCACATCAGCAAGAGGTTCCACCAAAGTATCATCTATGAAAATTTGAAAAACTCTGTCCCCAACCTTTTCAATGTGTTCATCAAACTCACAAAAATGCAATCTTACCATATAATAAAACTCTGAGTCCACTTGAAACCTCCAGGTCACATTAAATTTGGATTTTTCATTCTTCCCGTAGTTTCGAGCAGTTTTGTATACTTCATCTGGTGCAAAATAATTTTGACTATCTTTGTAGATTAGACTTAAATTACCAAAAACTGCTGATATACTGAGTGGGCGTTCGATCTCCAAGTACTGGTTATCTGGCTCCCAATCTCGAAACATGCCAGTATCATTAATGGGAGGGATCTGCCGCCCACCAACGTTGATTCTATACACATTCTCAAGAGCTCTGCTGTTTATGACCGGAAACGGGATGTTTTTTCTTCCATCTAGGCTCATAGCCTCTTGGTCGTCTACAGGATTGGTGTAGTAAAGATAGGAGGGCATAGAGACAACCTCGATCCCATTGACGAAAGCATAGGCGTTTTCGTGAGATCGGCTGGGCGTGAAGGTTATGTTTAGCCTCTGACCTGGGTCAACGTTGACGCAGTACTCTCGTACAATGGTTTTTTCTTGTGTAGTAATGAGTGAAGCGCCAGCGTCGGCGTTAGCTGAAGCATTGAAGTCCTTAAGAAGGTTGTGGGGTCCTGCTTTGACGGAGAAGATTGCATCGAAGCGACGGAAGTGGGGGTCGTAGGAAGATGGGTAAAAGTAAAGGCGAATATACTTTTGGCCGCCTGTCACCGGAAACGAGTACGAGAATTCGGAGCGAGAGACGCGTGCAGTGCCGTAGGGGATTGTTGGGGTAACTCGTGCTTCGGCGGCCTCGACGGACTGGCTGGCTTTGTGGGGATCTATGAGAGAGAATTCATTGGTGCCATTATCTCCGGGCCAATTCCTCTGATCTTTATCAAGACCGTCGGCGGAACTACCACAGTTGACAGCGAAATGCTCAACTGGTCTGTATGAAGTGACCGGGACGGTGATGAAAAGGAGTTGGAAGAAGAACAATAACAAGAAGGTCTGTGTCTCTTTCATCACTGTGATCCCCCCTTCGCTCTGTATCTCTCTACTTGTCGCCGTGGTGGTGGGATTTAAAGAGTTAAAGCTTGAAGAAACGCTTTGAACAAACTTGATGAAATAGATGGGGTTTCCAGGAAAGAGCTTCATGAGACCAAGTAATAATTTACACCGCTTGACTTTGTCAACCGTCTTACGTCACTCTCTCTCCCCCGGCCATACTCACTTGCCTGGATTTGGGGTGTCTCCACTTGCCAAGTCTCCATTTCTTCTCCATTTCTTTAAGACAGCACCGTTTTGACTGTGAAAAAATTAAAAAAATTGAAACCAACTAAGCACTCTCACCGAGACTCAACTTCTCTCCTCCAATCATTTCCTGCACACTGTTTAAAATATTTTAAACATATCATCTATAAAATATTTATTTTTTATATTTATTAAAATTATAAAAAAAATTAATAATATGTTTTATTATTAATTTAAATAGTTTAAATTTAATATGAATGGTTTAATTTAATATTAATTTTTTTATAAATTTTATAAATTAATTATTTAAATATATTTTAAATAGCACAGATTTAATATTAAAATTATAAAAAATTTAAATATTAAATTTGGACCATCAATGAAATCAAAATTGTCCAAATATTTTATACAGTGTAAAGGAAATGATTGGAGTAGAGAAGTTGGGTCTGGGTGAGGGTGCTTAGTTGGTTTCAATTTTTTTTAATTATTTTAACAATCAAAACGTTGCTATTTTAAAGAAATGGAGGAGAAATGGAGAGTTGTGAAGTGGAGACACCCCAAGTCCCACTTGCCTCGCCACTTCGTTTCACCAACAACCTCACAAATCTAACCTAAAAAGATACAAGTAAAGTAAAAAAAATATTTATTCTTTTTTGTAAAGAAAAGGAGGCCTAAGGCCTACAGCTCACGCAAGGCTAGACAAAAGTCAAGCCCAAAACAAAGCAAAAATCTAAAAAAGAACAAAATAAAACCAAAAACCAAATACTTAAGTGAATTCAACCAGGATCAAACGTTGTCTTCGACCTCTCCTTCCCCAGCCACATCATCTCTTCAACCCATGAAGCCACCTCATCCCATACACAATATGAGATTCGTAAATTCAGACATCCCTTTACGAGAAGGTCCGCACAGAGATTCCAACCTTTCAATCTCTACCATATGTTGGTCGACCAAGGTATCAACTTTCATCTTCCCCTTTAATTGATTCATTAGCTCCAATGACTCTACCTCCACCTGCACTTTTCAAAATCCATACTCCCAAGCTAAAAGTAGTCCCTTATATAAACCCCATCCTTCAACCACCAGAGCCGAGCACCACCCAACATCCATCGTGAAACCCTACACCCGATCTCCTTCATGATTCCTAAGTACACCACCATAACTTGCTATCCCCGGATTACCTCTACTAACCCCATCCGTGTTGAGTTTTACCCATCCCTCAACAGGTCTGCACCACTTACTCTCTAAATCTCCTTTTACCTTACTCATAAGATGTAATGGCAGAGCTTTTACTTTCCAGACCTCTTGCACAAAAGCCCAGATTTGCCTCACTTGCACCATCGAGTCAGCTCCTTTAAACACCCTCAAAAATTATAGGCCAAGGTATGCTTCTAATCACTTGCTTGGATTTAAGATTCATTATCAACCAATCTTTCCTGTCTGCTGTGTAGAATCTATTTTGCAACAACATACTAAAATTTTCCCATAAATTCCTTGCTACTTTACAATCTCGCATGACATGCATGACTGTTTCCAAGTCTCTGCACACTATACAATTAGCACTTGCACCCCATCTTTTATATTAAATCTCATTTGTATGTAATCTATCCTACATCAACTACCATAGAAATACTCGGATTCTTTCAGGCCCTCTCCATTTCTAAATTATTTCCCACTTAGGATCCTTCAAACCCAACTTGTCCCCTCTAATGCTCTTATATCCCTCTCTTACTTTATATTGACCTTGACTTCCTCTACCCCAAGCTAACCTATCTGTTACCTCTTCAGCTCTTGAAGGTAAAACCACATGAATCAATAATTTTTCCTTTTTAAATATTTCATTCTCGAAACATTCCCACTTCCAATTCCCATTAGCATCTACTAATTCAAAAACCATCAATTCTTTTTCCTCAAGACTGCTCTACCCTGTGCGTTCATTCTACAGTATTACCACACTTCTAACCCAAGTATCCTTCCAAAAAGATGTACTGTTGCCATTACTTAGCCTCCTTCACAACCCATTATTCACTGTATCCCAGAGTAGATGCATTTTGTCCCATCCTTATATCATTCCCAAACAGCTTGCCATTATTATACTTGTGCTTCAAAACTGCAATCCATAAACCTCCTTGCTCAATTCTAAGTCGCCAGAGCAACTTCATTAAATAGGCCATATTTATATCTTCTAGATTCAATAATCCTAATCCACCACATTCCTTTAGCTTGTGTATATTCTCCCATCAAATAAGGTGCATCTTCCTCTCAGTTACATCATGCCCCCAAATAAATGATCGTTGAGCGCGTTGTACATCTTCTAAAATCTGTTTAGGAATCCTAGTGACCATCATAGGATATACTGGAATAAAACCCACAATGGACTTCATAAGAGTAACTAGCCCAGCCATACTAAAACAATTAGCCTTCCATCCTCTTAATCTACACTTTACTTTGTCTAGCACATTACTAAGACACATAGTTTTCTGCCTCCCATAACTTACAGGCATTCTGAGGTAGTTACCAAGATCCTCTACCCCTTTAAAACTTGCTATTCCTATCAATTCCTTCCTCCTTTCACTAGAAACATTAGAGGAAAAGAAAATAGCAGACTTCCTATAGTTCACTTTCTGCCCAAACGCATTATAGAAACTTCCCATACACTACAACACCTCCTCTATTTGCTCTTTTAAAGCTTCTATAAAGAGAAACAAATCATCTGCGAACATCAGATGCAACACTTCAAGACCTTGCCTTCCAATTCTAATAGGCTTCCATTTCTTTTCCTCTACTGCATCCTGAATGACATACGTTAGCTTCTCCTTTCTCCATTACTAAGACAAATAAGTATGGAGATAGAGGATTACCCTACCTAATCCCTCTAGATGGCTCAAAACACTCTATTTTAGACCCATTCCAGAGCACCTGATTTGAAACGGTACCTACACAACGCATGATTAGTTTTGTTATCTCCTCCTTCATGCCTATTTTCATCAAAACCTCCCTTAAAAAACTCTATCAAACTCGATCATAGGCTTTTTCAAAGTCAATCTTAATTGCAAAAAAACCTTTTTTTTATCCCTCGTTCTCTTCATACTATGGATTAATTCTTGAGCAACTACAATATTGTCTTGTATATGCCTACCTTACACAAAACTGACTTGATTAGGTGCCATTAATATGCTTGAAAAAGGCTCAATCTTATTCACCAAAAATTTAGGGATACATTTGTAGATTACATTGCACAGAGCAATCGGTCTCATCTGCCTTATTGATTCAGTTTTTCTACTTTAGGCACCAACACTAGCAAAGTACTATTAATACACTTCATTTCCTACAAACCTCTCCAATAGTCTCTAATAGCATCACAAACCTCCTTGCCAACAATTTCGCATTCATTATGGAAAAATACAATAGGAAAACCATCTTCTTTTGGGGCTTTGAAAGCCCCAATAGAAAACATAGCATGCTTAATCTCCTCATCCAAAACCGATCTATACATCTCCTCCTAACAGTCATCTTCAATGACTGGATACTTATGTCTAGTCAGTTTTCTTACCACTTCCTCTCCATCCTCCTTAAACAACTCTCTAAAGAAAGAAACAGACATATTTTTTAATTGTTCCAGATCTTCCTCCCAGCTCCCATCATCCTTTTTTAGTATGGCCACTTTATTTCTTCTCCTTCTATTAACAGTCTTGAGATGATAGTATCTAGTATTCTTATCTCCATCATTAATCCAATCACCTCGAGATTTTTAAAACCACAACACTTCCTCCTATCTCAACACCTCTTCTAATTCCCCTTGCAATCTCCTCTTTAACCGAAAAAAATACCCAAATGGACATTTAAAGGAAATAATCTTCCTCTGCACACCATCCAGCCTAACAAGCAAAATCTTCTTCCTCTTTTAAATACTTTAGAACACATCTTTATTCCACATACCAAGAACTCCACTTAGATTCTTCAAATTCTCTTCAACTCCACCATCCTTCACCTAATTGTTCTTCACCATACTATCAAAATCCTTATAAAGTAGCCAAGCAACTTCAAACCGGAATGGATAAGAGCCCCTTATATTATCCTCTCCAATACTCACTAATAGAGGATGGTGATCCGAACAACCCAAATGTGGTAGCACCTTAACAATTCCCTCTTAATAACATAATTTCCATTCTTCATTACAAAGCCCACGGTCTAGCTTCTCAAAAACTTGCTCATACCCTGGAATAAGAAGGTCCCTCCATGTAAACTTATTTCCACAAGTTTCCATCTTAATTAGCTTACAAGCATTAATCCTATCATCAAACACTTCAAACCTCTTCAAATTAACATCTGCTCCTATAATCTTCTCTATAGGTCCCCTAATATCATTTAGATCCTCAACCAATAACCAAGGATCTTTTAAAGAAGGGGCCATTCTAATAATCTCATCCTAATTTTTTTTTTATCAACCTCTCTTAGACTAACATAAGCAACAGTTAAGTCTCAACTATCATCACTACCAAATCTAACCTTGAAATGCCTAAATTGCTTATAAGTTCTCACACACTCCACCTCTACATAATTCACATCCCACGCCACCCAAATACCTCCCGCAAAACCCATCCCTTCAATAGCAATAAAATTATGAAGTCTAATTTTTTGAAAGAAATCTTTCGCCTTCTTAGAAGGCACTCTTGTTTCTAAAAGAGCAATTTTTGTCGGCTTCCTCATTCTCAATAGCATTATAATACCCCTCTCTACCTCCTTTCTATTGGATAGAGAGGCACAGCATAAGATTAAAATTTTAAAATCTCTATCCTGATATGGACCGAATGAACTTATTTAAGTCAATGTGGATAGAAGAGTTACCTTTTAATTCTTTGAAGTTAGCACACGTTCTCTTCAAGAGTTTGGATCTGAGGAGCTGACAACATAGATCTGCTCCCTCGATCGATATCCACATGAACAGCTCTCTAACTCAAACAGCGTGCTAGTGCTCTCAGCGTTTGTTCTTCTTTGAACGTTAATTTTTCTTTTTATAGGGTATTTCGTGGCTCTCAGAGTATTTTTACCATCAAAATTTTTTTAACTCTCTCCTCCTTTATAAAAGACGTCCCTATCTATATATAGTATATAGATAAAGGTTTTCGTCTTTTACTTAAAAGCCCACGAAAATTTAATTAAATTTATCTCATAAATTTAATCCATAATATCATATCTAATTCAAATTTATCTTTTAAATTTAAATTATAAAAATAACATGTTATTCTCTCATATCATGTTAATTATTAAATTTAATCTATCATACAAAATTAAATTTAAAACTAACATAAAATAATATAATATAATATAATATATCATATATACATATTATATTATATATATATATATATATATATATGAATATATATATATATATATATATTATATTATCTATATTTAATTTTATATATCATATACATATATCATATATATATATATATTTGATATATATATACACATATATGGATATATATTTTTAAAAAATATATATATAATTACATTTTAAATTTTATATTTCATATAAATATATATATATATATTAATATTTATTAAATAAATATTTAAATATATATATACACACACGAATATATATATACATATATATTTCAAAATTATATATATATATTATATGTATTTTTATTTTTTAGATTAAGGGGTTGATCATTAAAAATATATTTTATAAGCTTTCTAAATGTAGTGGTACATTGCACAAGTCCATTTTGGTCTATGTTATGTGGTCTAGGTAGTGTTTATGATTTTTGGCTTTTGACATGTGAGTTTAACACTTAGTTTTGCATCATATGGTGAAAAAAATGAGTATGTTGAAATGGGTGTCCAATTCTTGTATGAAAAATATTTTGAGTGTAAAACCAAAGCCATTAGCTAGATCTTGGAAAAAGTTTTCTATAAATATTTAGATTGCATCAATCAAACGTCAGACGGAGAATTAGGGCGGCCAAAAGTTGCTTTGATTGCTATCAAATTGATAACATAATTTTCTTGTCATGAAATGTGTGATGTACTGTGATGCATTATTCAATAAGCCACAACACATGACACAGAGGTTTACCAGCCACGATCTAAGTTTCATGAGCTGTAATGCACGCCTCTGGTTTTGTAAAAATTTCACTATTTTTTTAATTTTAAGCAAATGCATTGATCCTTTTAATGATTCCAGAATTCTGCATAGTTAATAAACTCTTATCTTTCATTTGTAAAGCCTTTTTAAAAGGATTTAAAATTTGAAAACTTAGGATACCATTTTTACAACTCATTTGCAAAAACTGATACAACTTGTTGCTTACTTTAAGATAACCTCTTAAGTAAACGAGATTGGAGTTGAATGGGTATTAGTTAAGGTGATTTTACAACATGGGGAAGGCTTTGAATCTAATAAGGATGTATGTAATATGGATGACAATCATGAATCTGACAGGGATGAAGGGTCTGATAGTGAGGATGAGTTATAGGGGAGACTCTATGTTAAATGATACTAAAGAGAGCTTAGATTCTGAATTTCATGATAGTGAGCTATCCGTTGGCATTAAGAGTGACAATAAGGAAGATTTTTTAGACCCTAGTGATGATGATAGGCCTTTAGAGGAAGTGAGAAGGCCTTATGAGGAAGGGTATAAGGCCTTTTTAATGTTAGGTATGACATTTGCTAACAAAGGAGAGCTTAAAAGGGCCATGGATAACTATGTAATTAAAATAGGGGTACAGGTTAAAGTAACTAGAAGTAAACTAACCAAGCTGTGACGTAAATGTGAAGAGGGCTATCCATTCCTTTTTTTATGCCTCTAAAGATGGATCCAGTCCAGGTCTGATGGTTAAGACCTTGTGTTCTAAGCATAAATGTGCTTCTCAGTTGTGGATAGTTCAGCACTTCAAGGAAAAAATACAAAATTATCCTCAATACAAGCTAAGTAAAATGAAGAGATAAGTGAAGTAGGATCTAAAGGTTAATGTTAAAATCCACAAGTGCAAGCAAGCAAAGAGGAAAATACTAAAAGAAATGAAGGGCAGATATGATGAGTTTGGAAAGTTAGAAGCATACTGTAATGAAGCGAGGATATCAAATCTAGGGTCTGATTTTGTAGTGTGGAGGTGAGCCATGAGGCATTGGAAGCTGAAAGAAGAGTTTTTAAGATGATGTTCATATGCTTCAATTCTGCTAAGGTAATCTCATTTGAATTTTTTTTTTTTGCACTTGTATTTGACTGAAAATGTAATCTCACTTTAGTAAATATGTAATACGTTGGATGGAAATAAGGATATAGGCTTCATTAGGGTAGATGGGAGATTTTTAAAAGGGAAAGTTTGAGGTATATTGCTCATAACAGTGGGATTAATAATAAAAACAAAAGAGGGAGCCTTAATTTCATACTCATCACATCATTCATTATCAATAACATATTTTACTCATTTCTTACTTGCCAGCTTTTTGGCTCTTTCTAAATCTCACAGTTTAATACATACATAACCTAAGATCTAAAATACATAACTTAGCTTAGTAATCACCCAGTGTAACTTAGCTTAGTAATCACCCAGTGTAAGTAAGTAAACATGAAATCTCCTAGTTTGAACTGTCGATATGAATTATACACATGGTTTTCAAAATAATGAGGCATACAAATTTAGGATGAATATATCCTAAGCCTTAGGCTTTTTTCCATGATCCTACACTGATGAGTTAATTCTTGAAATATTGAAGAGAGAAGGGTAAGTACAATCACTTAATAACTAAGGTATATTTAACCTATATTAATCCATATCAATTAATTAAAGTGCAAGTGGCATAACATTTCTTACTCTTAACAAACTACCATTCACAAGCTCAATATCATATATGCAATGTTGATCACATATACAACATTAATCATATAATATCATGTGATTTCATCATAAGGGTCACAATACAGACAATTATGTACCTTTAATAATAATATGCAAGATTACATCTCCCTTATATCATCTTTATGGCTCTAACATAAAACCGTGGGCTCTTACACCATAGGCTCATCTATATGTAAGACTACCCTAGTCTTTCATACGTGAGAAGCTACTTGGCCAAGGTTACTTAACTCACTTGTAGATCACAGTTTTTCCTAAATCTAACACTATGAGATGTCGTTCTCCCTAAACTAGCTTCCTTATTAAATAAGTAGAAACTAGAGTTAGGCTCAAGTCTCTCAATAAACCATAGGACAGTCCCTCATCAAACAGGTGGGATAATAAATTTAAATATATTCGGGCGAGCTACCGAGCTCTAAATAGTGGCCATACCATTTGGATTTTTAACTCACTACTCCTTTTTTTAAGTGAACTCTCATCTCATATGATTATACAATGCATAAATGTAATATTTATAGCGTTCATAAGTATCCATCATATAAGCATACTTAGCAATATCGTCGTACTCTTTTTATTTTACATTTATCACATTTTCACATCACAAAACATTGTTCAATTCTATATCACAAATGAACATATCATTACACATGTCATGTTGTCATAGAACTCCTTCAATCAACATTTCTCTCATTACTCACAATACAAACACATATATTTATCATTTCACAAATGATAATTTAACATAACAAGAAGTGATTCTTGGTTTCACATTACTCAATATATATCACATGCTTCATCAATCATCCAATTCCCAGACTAATTCATAAGCCCCTATCATCATATGATTAATAAATTTTCACAAGCCATTTTTGCATTATAAACCATTCCACAAGTTTCAATCGTAGTTATAAATCTAAGCAACTACTTAACACACAGAAGTATAAGAGAGATTTCCACCAATTACTTTAAACTTTTAAAAAGTTAAAGGTTTACCCTTAAAATACACACTTTCAAAGATTTTCAAAGCTTGAATGGTGTCAAATTGTGATTAATCTACATTTAATCACATCAAAGATCATTAATATCTTCATCAAGATAATTCCTAACATCACATTTGATATTTCTAAATCTCCTAAAACTCTAATTCCCTATATACAAGAATATCTATAAGGTTTATTAACTTTCTTTAACTTACATTGGTTCCGATAACTCATCTAAGCATAAGCAATGGCCATTAAATACTCCCACCAACCTCCACAAATATAAATTTTTGGGTATTTATTCATAACTACTAAAACTCATAAAGTCATAAATGTTAGGTTTAAATAACCTAAATAACTCTCATTAACTCTATTTAAATCAATAGGTTTGGATCCATAGTGTAATATCCTCCTTCTCTAATCCATGATTAACTCTAAATCTCCATAATTAAATAGACTAGCTCAAGGTAAATGACATATCACCAAGTTTGTAAATAAGTGAAAAAGTTAGGATCCTAAGTTTTCATAACTAAAACCATTTTCAAACACTTTAAAATAGACAAATCAGAGTTTACAACTATGTGGAAGCATGCGATCATTTCAAGAATTAGTGCATTTGCTAAAGAGTCAGAAAATAAAGTGACTGCAAAATTTAAGGCCTGCACTGCAGCTTGTTTGCCTCTGTGCCATGCACCACGACTCGTGGCACATTTCATGCCAGTGAATTTTTGTTGTCAAAATGATAGCTTTCGGGCAACTTTTGATGCACCATATTCCTTCGTTCGATGTCTGATTGATGTAAACTAGGTGTTTACTAAAAGCTCTTTCTAAGCTCTAACTAATGGCTTTAGTTTTATAATTAAATTATTACACATTCAAAATTTAAACACTCATTTCAAAACTTATACTTTTATAACATTTCTCACAAAAACTAAATGTCTAAATCATCCATTAAACCAAAAGCCATTAATACTACTTAGACTACATATAATACACCACAACTAACCTATATAATGCACCACATCATATAATACACTTATAATTCACAATTTCAATACTCAATCCCTTAATTCAAAAACATTGAAGGGGGAGTTCAATTACCTAATTCATCAAATAATTTAATAACATCTCATAATATGCTCAATTTTTACTTACATTAGTATTTTGACCCTGTAACATATATCACATTTCACAAACACTCTCCCTAGAGCCCAAAATATATTTACAACTCACAAAGCACATAATACTAGTGAAAACCCTAGTTGGCAATTTTAATCATTATATACATATAAAGACTCAAAATAAAAATGGCTACTAAATAAGATTGCAGTCCTATACGTCTGGTTATTTTCCTCCATCCAATTCTCTTGAGCTATTTCCTGTAATATTGAAGATAGTAAGGTGAATACAACAACTCAGTAACCAAGGTCCAATTAATTCATATTAATACATGTCAATTAATTTAAATGCAAGTGGTAGTACAATTAGTTTTTAAATCATGTAAAACGTTTAAGAGCATAAATTCACATTTTCAGGCATAATAGCACATACCCATGAAATAATGCTTTTTAACAACTTTCATGTAGGAAGAGAGCTTGCCACCCAATCAATGGACATATACTCGCAAGGAATTAAAGCTCAATTCATGATTTTCATTATTAGGGTCACAATACAGATAACCATGTGCCCTTTTTTCACTATATGAATGATCACACCTCCCTTATATCTTTCTTATTCCTCTGACATGAAACCATGGGCTATAACATATTGGGACAATCTATGATCTAAGACTTCCCTAGCCTAAACATGTGTAAGGGGTTATCTAGCTAAGGTTTTTCTAACTCACTTGTGAAACACGATTTTTCCCATTTTCTCATACTATGAGGTGTCATTCTCCTTAAACTAGCCTCCTCGTTAAACTACTGGATAGCTAGTTAGGTTTGAGTCCCTCATTGAACAAGTAAGACAATAAGTATATAAACAATTCAGGCAAGCCATTAACTCAGATAGAAGCCCTATGACACGAATTTAAATTTCTACTCCTCTACTTAGGCAAACTCTCACCCCTTGAGATCATGCAATGCACAAATATACATAATTCAAGCATGTATTATCATATCATTGTACTTAATCACATACATGGTAATCACATATTATACACAGTCAAATCGTTGAACTCAACTATCAATCTCATTGAACTTCACATTTTCAATTAGTCATGGAACTCTCTAATACATAGTCATTGTAACCTATCACAATTTACATTATTGAACTCCAAATTAAACAAGTCATTGAACTCCATATTTTCATAATTATTATACCTCACATGTTAACAATCATTGAACTCTATAATTTTAAAATCATTGAATTATATTAGATAACCACTTCATAGTGGGTTTTGCAAATAAAACAAGCCACATTTTTATTTTAATTAATCTCACATAATTCAATTGTCAAATATAAATCAATAACTAATTAACACATAAAAGTACAAGATAGAATTCCCCTGGGTACCTCAAACTTTTGAGACGTCAAAGGTTTCATCCCTCAAATACTCACTCCCGAAGCTTTCAAGAAACTTGAATGGTGCCAAAATAATTACTCTACAATCAATCACAATAAAGTTCATCAATATCCACTTTTGGTCTAATTTTCACTAGTAACTCAACACTTCTTCATGCTTAAGATTCATTCTCTACTAATATAAAAATATCTATAAGGTTTTTTAGCTTCCTTTAACCTTCATTAACATCATTGAGCTCTTAAATAGCCATTAATAAGACCGTATTATTCCCAACTAACATATTTATGGGAAATTTTGCATATTAAATAATTCTCAACCACCAACCATCATAAACCCATAAATACCAAGTTTCATTAGCTCAATCTACTCCTATTAACTCTATTTAAGTCAAGGGATTCAGACTTATAGCTTATATGGACTAAAAATCATCATTATCAACTAAACCCTAACTTTTAACATCAAGAAAATGGAAGAAGATAGGAAGATTTGAGTGTGGGAAGCTTACCCTTTGCGTTTATGAGCTTCAAAATACTATAAATATTTGGATTCCTCAAGCCCTAGCAAAGTATTTTCAACCCTCCTTCACATTTCTTTGTTTTTCTCCCTTCTTCTGCTTCATTTCACGACTATATTTTAGTAGAAAAGTGACTATACGCCTTGGTAGATGCACAATGCACTGCAACGCATGGCACAGAGAGCATCCCTCCAGACATGTCAGAACACACACACCGCGGCAATTGATCCACAAGCCGTAACATGTGGCACATAGCCTTGCCCTTTATATTTTTCCTCTTCTTATTTCGAGGCAACCCAATTCTCCT